TTGTGTAAAAAACTTTTTGCATATGTTTTATTGCTAAAGTGTTGCATATTTATTTATTTTTTATTTTCTTATAGTTGCAATTTTCCCTGTTCTTCTTCTTTCTACTAGTGCTTTTCCCATCTTGCTATGGGATTTACTTTCCTCCTTTGTTTCTTCCTCACTGCCCTTGATCTTGAACGTCGTTTTCGATTTTTTCGCAACACTTTTTATTATTTATCACAACACGATCGCCTCGATCGTCATATATAGCATCTCAGACTGAAAGTGTTTAGATTGAATTTTTTTTTATAGGAGAGGGGGCAAACGAGCATGCGGCTCACCTGATGGTAAGTGACTACCGCCGCCCATGAACAACCGCAACACCAGGGGAATTGCAGATGCGTTGCCGGCCTTTTAAAAAGGAGTAGGCTCTTTTCTTGAAGGTCCCTAAGTCGTATCGGTCCGGAAAAATCACTGGTGGTAAACTATTCCACAAGGAAGTTGCACGAGGAAGAAAACATCTTCTAAATCGCACAGTGGTGGACCACCAATCATCCAGATGGTGTGGATGGTATCGGTAGTTCTGCCGCGATGTGCGTTCGTGAAATTTGGCGGCTGGGATTAATCCGAACAATTCCTCAGAGCACTTCCCATGGTATATGCGAAAGAAAATGCAAAGAGATGCAACATCTCTTTGCAGTGCCAATGAGTTGAGCCGATCGGAAAGGACTCGGTCGTCGACGATTCGAGCCGCTCTGCGCTGGATGCGGTCAAGTGGAAGGAGCTGGCACTGGGGAGCCCCAGCCCAGAGATGGGAACAGTATTCCCGAACCTGAGCCTTGTAAAGTTGCAGGCGTTGAGCTGGCATGAAATACTGTCCCACTCTGCTGAGCACGCCAAGCTTTTTAGAGGCCAATTTGGCCTTCCCTTCCAAGTGACCACGAAACTGCACGTCACTAGATATGTCGACGCCGAGGAATCCGATACTGGCTGAGGCAACAAAGGGAGTACCTTGAAACTGAGGAGATACGACAAAGGGGTTCCTTTTAGCGGTAAACGCGCAAACTTGTGTCTTCTGAGGATTAAACTGGACTAGATTTAGTCGCCCCCAATCCGAGACTTTGTCCAGCAAAGACTCGACTTCAGACACAAGTTTGTTCCGGTACTCGATGACGTTTTCCCGAGAAATATTGGCACGGCCGGTGTATAGAGCATCACCAGTGCTGTCATCCGTATACCAATGAATGCTACCGGCTTGCAACATATCATTGATATGCAGAAGAAACAGCGTTGGTGATAGCACGCAGCCTTGTGGAACACCAGCGTTAATAGGCTTGTAGTCGGAGCATGCACCGTCTACTACGATCTTGATGCTCCGATCTGCAAGAAAGCTGGTGATCCAATTGCATAATTTCTCGGGAAGCCCATAGCAAGGGAGCTTCGAAAGAAGCGCTTTGTGCCAAACCCGATCGAAGGCCTTCGCAATGCCCAAACTAACGGCCAATGCCTCCCCCTTGGACTCTACTGCCTCCGCCCATCTATGAGTTAAGTAGACCAGAAGATCACCAGCTGATCGATCCCGACGAAAACCGTACTGGCGGTCACTAATCAGCTGGTGATCCTCAAGGTACCGCATGAGGTGGCAGTTTATAACGGTTTCCATTATTTTGGAGAACAAGGGGGTGATGGCGATAGGCCTGTAGTTGGACGGGTCTGAGCGGTCGCCTTTTTTAGGGATCGTGTGGACAAAAGCTGTCTTCCATGATTTCGGGACTACGCCTAGGGAGTAGGAGTACCGGAAAAGACGCGTTAGAACCGGTGCCAACTCCGGAGCACACGTCCTCAGCACAATTGGGGGGATTCCGTCAGGCCCACTCGACTTGTGGATGTCAAGGGAGAGGAGTGCGAACCGAGCGCTGTGAGAACAGCACATCCGGCATGGAGCACTCACATCGCGGGATGGTCGGCAGTGTGTTCCCCCCGTCATCAACAGTCGAGTTGGACGCAAAAAGGGAGCCTAAAAGGTCGGCTTTCTCTTTTTCGTCGTGGGCCAGTGAGTCGTCCTCCCTGTGCAGAGATGGTAGTGATGGCTTACATAAATTCCCTTGGACAGCCTTGGCGAGAGACCAGAATGCACGGGTTCCCGAAGGAAGGCGAACTAGTTTCTCGCCAATTCTGCCTATGTGCTCTGACTTTGCTTTGGCAATAACTCTTTTTGGAAGGACCTGGAGGCGAAGTTATACTTCTTTTTAAGTATGCTGGTGTTTACATCCCGAGTCGCCGAAGCCGCAGCCCAGGCTTGATAACACTCCTGCTTACTGCGTAAAGCAGTCTTACAGGAGCGACCAAACCAAGGCTGAGATCTGCCTCCGATGGGTACCACAGATGATGGAATAAATAGTTCCATTCCGTGTAGCACCACATCAGTGACAGAGTCAGCAACAGCGCTGGGATCATTCGGCGAGAAACAAACTCGCCCCCATGGGTAGGAAGCAAAGAAAGACCGCATTCTGTCCCAATCCGCCGACCTGTAATGCCAAACACGGCGGCAACCTGCAGAACGCAACCGCGAGGGGAGCGTGAGTGGCACCACACTCCGGATCAGACAATGGTCCGAAGAGCCAAGAGGGCTGCCGAGGGGCATCGACGGAAACCTGATATCCGTCCGGATGAGAGGTCAGCAGAAGGTCCAACAGGGAAGGTGTATGATCCTCAACATCTGGAATCCGCGTAGGCGATGTAACCAGTTGTGTCAGACCATATGCCAAGGCAAAGTCATAAACAGATCTCCCCGCATGATCGGTTAAACGTGAACCGAGCCATTCGGCGTGGTGGGCGTTAAAATCGCCAAGGATCACGATCTCTGCGGATGGGACCTGTTGTAGCAAGGAATCTGTAGCCGTTTGGACGTGGTCGATGAATGCTGTGTTGCCAATCTCATTGAGTCGTTTCCTTTTAACAATTAGTATTGCGTTCTACGAGAATGTCGCAAATTTGTTGCAAACCATTTTAAGTAAATAATATGTTGAAAACCACGGAATATAAAAAACAAAAACATGTTTTTTATATTCCGTGTTGAAAACACTTGCCCATCGTTGCAAAAACATAGGTAGTAAATTTCACAAAGATGACAGCATCAAAAACAAGGGGCCGTAGAAGCAAGTTCTACAACAGACGTCTTTAAATCAGTTTGACCAGTAACACCGTGGCTCATATTCTGTATATGTATAGGTACTCTGTCATGTAATTTATTGTCAGTAAGATGTGGATCTTTTACGACGTAAAAACATGTTCTAAGAAGTGTGCACTATGAAATGATCCTGTTCAAAGTCGCCCAAATGGACTGAAAAATCGTTGCAAAAAGCCACTTATTTCTTCTATGGATGATTTATGAGAATATTCAAAAAGTAAAAAGTGCAACCAACATATTATTACTTGCACAACTAAGTTTACCTGTAAGGTAATCGTCCATTTAAGTTCCTTATAAACACTAGAATTTTTTGTTCCTTTTGAAATAGTACGATTAAAAAAAAAAACTATTTCGTATACAAATTTAGATTTCCGGAATTATCAGTAAGAATTAATGTTCAACGTTGCTTTTATAAAAATTTGGGCTTGCTTATTTTAAAAACACTAAGCTAAAACATTCTTATTTCAATAAAAAAAACTGGGTTTTTATACAGCGTTTGTTTTATACAGGTTAAGTTACATTTTTTTTTACATTATAGTTAATTTTTCTTCACTATTCGCTTATATTACTTATTCTGAACGTTCTGTGCAAATTTGGGTGTATATTGCAAAATAACCCTGTATATAATAAGGGTGACAAACGAGCACACAGTCCACCTAAAGGTAAGTGGATACTCTGGCCCGTAGACATCTATATTTATCCTCGATTAAGAATCAATGTGCAGATGTGTTGTCACCCCTGAGGACTCAGATGGTGTGCCTCGTATCCAGTAAAAAGGGTCTCCGGTTCTCCACACTCACTATACGAAACACAGCAGCATTAAGCTGCTATTTTACGCCGGTATTCTGTGAGAGCGTGGCCCGACGAGTCGAGCCGACCCATTCGTGCTACAGCCATAATATAGCTGCAGCGTGGCTCTACCACGTAAGTGAAGTGGGTTTATCGATTCATTTTAAATTGATTAATAAATTATTTAATTAAATTCTAAACTACTACTTGACACTGTTAGCTCTTTTTGCGTACACAGATCGGAATTACATGATTAAACATTAAAGATTTAATATATGTATATGCTAAATTTAAAAAGTATGATCATCAATTTTAAGAACTCTAACATCAAGCTTTCGTCATCGTCCTCAACAACCCCTTCCATTCACTCCCGATAAACGTCGTCTGTAACCTTCAGCTCCTGCTACCCAGCCTAGCTTTTCAAGGTTTATCGTAGCATTGGAATAACGCTTCCTGTTCCTTCAAGATTTGAATCAAATCTTTGAATCACGTCTAGTCAGTCAACGAAAGACGAAAGGTATCAAATAATTCATAGCCTTATTTTTACAATCTACTTATTTGTTTTGTACCTAAAAATAAAGAAAGATCATCAAGTACAATACTTGCGGCACTAACTCTATCATTTATTGAGAATATTATACCAAATTTTATTCTGAACATAAGTGTGCTTGCAAAGGCAAGCTCAGCGCCCCTCAAACCTTGCGCTCTAGGCTCCAGCCTGGTTAGCCTGTGGGTAAAGAAGGCCCTATTGATGGGGCAATCTATGGAGAGGCTTATGTTCGATAGTGGACTTTAAAATGTTGCAGTGAAAATGATGAAAATTAAATGCAAATAAATATCCGATTCTGTTAGGGACAATTATAGGCAATATATATAGAGTACGATTTACGTAGAATTTAATTACCTATTCCGTTTTTGAAATGTTTTACGGGTATATAGACTATGCTTCTCTTATTCTAAAATACGTGTGATAAGCAGAGTGGAGCATTAAGTTTCCAAGTAGCAAAGGGAAGGGCGGGGGAAAAAAAGAAAGTGTTCATACTTCTAAAACTTCTTTGCGGAGATCTGTTTTGTTGTTTCATTGGTTGCGTTAATATCGGCAAAGGGTCACCAACTCCGTGACTGAAACTTCTTGAAGGCGTATTTACACTGATGTGGGAAGCAAACTGCGTTCCCGTTGTGCTACTCCGTGTCATTTGTACTAAATATACAAACAAGCCGAAGACACTCTTGAAAAATTTGCTTGTTGGTTTCTGTAAAATAAAAAAAAAACTCCATCTTAGGTTTGCTTATGTTCTATGTAAGATAGCTCAATTCTAATCTATACAAATAAATAAAATTGAAGTGTCTGTTTGTAATGTCAAAATACTAAATGCTTTTTACTAATTGCATATAATATACGGCACCTATAACAGAAACACAATTTTTAAATTTTTTGTCTGTCTGTCTGTTTGTTCCGGCTAATCTCCGAAACGGCTGGACCGATTTTGACGGGACTTTCACTGGTTCACTTAGTTATAAGGAGTAACTTAGGCTACTTACATTTTTGAAAAATAATTAGGGTTCCGCGCAACAAAATAAAATCCTAAATTACACGTGGGCGAAGTCGCAAGGAACAGCTAGTTTCTAATATAAATGTGATGACTACATGTTTTTCAATAGATGGCCCTGTAATTAGCCTGTTTCGTGGTCATTGTTTACATTCATTTTTCATTCATAACTGCCTATCAAAGGTCAATGCTGAATATATTGCTTCATAGAATGGATATTTGGAACTCAGTTGCCAGACGGATTGGCAACCGCAATTTACTGCAGCGTAAGATCATCTACTATCCTATGGGTGTCATAAGTGACTACAGAGGGAAATGAAAGAGGAGAATGGCAGCAGCATCCTTCGGATAACAACTTACAATAATCCCGTTTACTCCAGACGTAAAATTCCCAGACCAGCGACGGATAATAAGCGTCAAAGCACAATCGGCATTCCGCCTGCCAAGCGTGATGATTTAGGAAAATAATTTCATCAGAGGGAGAGGGGGCAGGTGATGATGATGATAAATTCTACGAGTAAGGAACATAGTAGATTCTACGGCAACATTTTATTATTGATTTATGTTACGAGACTTAAACATTATATCACAGAATAAATTATTATTGGTTAAATTATTTTATTTATTTATTTATTTATTAAACTCTAATAAATAGCGCAACAAAGGGCAAACTTATGCCTATCGGTATTCTCTGCCACTCAACCCGTGGCGTGATGAAATTTTGTGGCAAGTGTAATTATATATATACATACATACTATAATATACATAGGTATAATATACAAAATGTATACCTATGCTAAATAAAACATGTGTGATATATTATATCATACATATCATTTAAATATATATGATATAATACATCACATATATTTTCTATCTATGTATTTGTTTGTTTTTGTTTTGTTTTTTAAAACACGTAATGGAGGTTAGGATTTTTTCGTGTATTGTGAAGGCAGTATACATACATAAATTTCATAAGGACAAACATCCAGACCCGGAACAATTATTTGTAGGTCGTAGAAATACTTGTTCTGTGCGGGATTGGAGCCCGCGGCCATTAGCGCTGCAATTCTTTGCTAAGCCACTGCGCCACGGAGCCGTCATCACATTACTGTACCTTTTATGGACATGACATGTGTAATATTTTTAATTTTTGAATATAAATTATAATGTTTGTTTTAAAGAAACTCGAGGAGCCTACACAATTAACGACGTACCCCAAAGCAAGAAGGTAATGTTTTGCAGACTTTTTTATAGGATAAGGTTGAACGAATACACATTCCACCTGATGATAAGTGAATGTTGTGGGCTGTGGCCCATAGACATCTTCATTAATCCTCGATTAAGAATCAAAATGAAGATGCGTTGCCACCCCTGAGGACTAAGATGGAATGCCACGTTTATAGTAAAAAAGGTATCTGGTTCTCTACAGTGTAGAGAACCGTATGGTGTGTAGAGTTCACACACCATACGAAAGACAGAGCTGCATCAAGCTGCTATTTTGCGTTGGTACTCTGTGAGAGCGTGGCCCGACCCCGGTGGAGCTGACCCGTGCCACAACCATAATATAGCTGCAGCTTGGCTCTACCACGTTCAAGGCTCATTTCGTAATAAATTTATAACCATCTTCAACTCTTTATTAAAGTGAGGATTTCTTACGTTAAAAGCATTTTAGCGCCCCCTTTCCCGCTGTACGCATATTTGTCCAGAGATAAGTAAGCCTGCGACATTCAGTGGACAAAAAATTACTTTGTTTGCAACAATTTGGCCGATATATATAATAATAAATAATAATTTTACCGATTAAGAATCTAGTTGAATAACATGCGTTTCATATTATTATTGAAAAATATTATATGGCTGTCGCTTAAAACAAACGACAACTCGAACGTAAATTTTTTTCCGGCGATAAATAATTTTTTTTTCATGAGTACCTAAATTATTTTAAAAATCCATTCGATAAGGAGGTGAGGAGATTAGAAATACTTAATTGTATTAATTGAGTATTTCATATATTTCAAGAAGTATCAATTCTCGAGCGCAAAATCGTGTCTAAAATACTAAAAAGCTTTATAATAGATACCTACTGTTGAGAAAATGTATTACATCAAATAGTAAGTATTTACAACCAGTATTAGTAAAGTAGTATTTACAAATAGGTTTTACAATTTCCAATAAATCATATTCTAAATTAGGTATTTATTAGCGTACTTTTATGTGTATACTCTGTGACCTATTGTAAATAATATGTGTATGTTCCATAAAGACAGAAATTGCAAATAATATAGCGACAACCTGCTTCCAAAAAGGAAAAACATGTTTGATGGGAGGGCCTTGACACAGTAATGTTAAAACCAGGACTGATGGTAGGCCCAACTGGATTAGACTCTCTGTCGCAAAACTTAAAAGCAGTGGAATTATAGGAATTCGCTCAGCTGATGATCTTCTTGTTTACCTAACACACAGGACGCAATTGAATCCAAGGAGGAGGCTTTAGCGGTTAGTTTGGACATAGCGAAGGTTTGGCACAAAACGCTTCATTCGAATCTTCCTTCCTATGGGCTTACCGAAAAATTGTGCAATTGGATCACCAGTTTACTGGCTGATCGGAGCATCAAGGGCGTAGTAGACAGTGCATGCTCCGATTACAACCCTATTAACGCTGGTGTTCCACAAGGCTGCGTGCTATCACCAACGCTGTTTCTTCTGCATATCAATGATATGTTGCAAACCGGTAACATTCATTGCTTTGCGGATGACAGCACTGGTTATTGGGGGTAAAGTCTCGGATTGGGGGCGACTAAATCTAGTTCAGTTCAATCCACAGAAGACACAAGTTTGCGTGTTTACCGCTAAAAAGAACCCCTTTGTCGTGTCTCCTCAATTTCAGGGCACTCCCCTTGTTGCCTCAGCCAGTATTGGAATCCTCGGCGTCGACATATCGAATGACGTGCACTTTCGTGGTCACTTGAAAGAGAAGGCCAAATTGGCCTCTAAAAAGTTTGGCGTGCTCAGCAGAGCGGGACAGTATTTCACGCAGGCACACCGCCTCCAACTTTATAAGGCGCAGGTTTAGCCGCATATGGAACCGTTCCATCTCTGGACCGGGGCTCCCCAATGCCAGCTGCTTCCACTTTTTGTTCTATTTAACTCTGTTGCCTCTTATCTTAAAGTACCCACCAGGTGATAAAGGTTTTTATGCCACCACTACATGGCGATGCTTTGTATACAATAGAGCGTAATTTATTCATGTTTATTTTGTGAATCGTTTTTCTCACACTACAGGCTAGAGCCTCTACTAAAACGTTATATTTTCTTATTAAGATCTTTTAATTTCACGTTAATTAAAGCTAAAAGGCATCTTCGTTCTATATTATAATCAGTTATTTAGCACTACTTCCGCAAAAATCTAGTGTTACGTGTCTATAAATACAGTACAATAGATGTAATAACTATTTCATTTCAGGTTTTGTGCGTATTTTGCATAGATCGGTTGCATTGATAAAAGCCATTATGTCCAGATTTGGTTCACGAAAATTGTGACACGTAACAAAGCTAGATTACTCGGTCCATTTAGATCCATCATCGCGTACTCTCACGAGGTTGTTGCAACATAAAGATGAATAACTTTGGTTAGCATAGCAACGTGATAGTTCTGTAGAAGTAGGAAATGTAATGAGAATATAAAAAAATAATTAAATATGCAAGGTTTTATGGTGTCATTATAACAATATTTTAATAGCTCAGAAGTTACAAAAGGTATTGTTATGAACGTTTGTTACAAGAATTTCGTTCTTTATACTCAGACTTAGAGAGAATATTTGGTGAAATAAAAGTTAAATAAAGATATACATAGTACGATCGGTAGTTTCGACGCCCCTTCTTATTTCTGAGAAGTTTATTGGTAATAATTTTATTCTATAGACGTGCGGTTATAGAGGTTTGGTCTTCTTTCATCGTCTAACTTGTCACGTCGGCACTTATTATTGCAATAAATAAACACATCAACACCGTATAGGGATAATTTAACAACGCGTGAATTTCAAAGATTATGTCAATATTTTCTTAAGACTTGTTCAAGAAAATTTTATTTAATAATCTACCATTTTCGAAGTGAAAACTGCTTTAGTAACTCTGTAATTTGAAACTCGATGAAATGAAAAAGCGATCTATAGGATTAGGCCTGCGAGAGAATTTCTTATATTCGTCCCATTCTCTCGAAGTTTAATTTTCCGAACGTTTCAACTTCTACCGCGTGTGAACTGCGCACATGTTTTTTTTTTAAGTTGTTCTTCTGAAACCAGATTTTCAGTAAAATCCCTCAGAGCTCTACTCTAGAGCATATCCCAAGCATGCTCAATAAGATTGAAATCTGGGGATTGCGCTGGCCATTTTAGGGCCGTGAGATAATGTTCGTCTAACCAGGCTGTAACCACCCTGGCCGTATGTGAACGGGCATTGTCGTGTATAAGCAGGATTTTTTTGACCCATTTATATTCGATGTGGCAAGACTATTAGTACGTAGTGTAGCCGGTGGAAGGAAAAGGTAGATCTCCCGCCGGGCAAGGTGTTCTGCCCGGGGAGCGGCCAACGCTCCGAGTGGTAGATTTTTTTTTGCGCCCAGAAGCAATTGGAAAGGGCTACCCCGTTATGCGAGGAGGTGGTTAATGCTTTATGCATACCACGACAGCCGATCTGTCGTGGTTATGCGGGACTCACTGTGTCTA